TGTGTGTGTGTGTGTGTGTGTGTGTGTGTGTGTGTGTGTGTGTGTGTGTGTGTGTGTGTGTGTGTGTGTGTGTGTGTGTGTGTGTGTGTGTGTGTGTGTGTGTGTGTGTGTGTGTGTGTGTGTGTGTGTGTGTGTGTGTGTGTGTGTGTGTGTGTGTGTGTGTGTGTGTGTGTGTGTGTGTGTGTGTGTGTGTGTGTATATATGTGTGTGTGTGTGTGTGTGTGTGTGTTATATCAATATTATTTTATTAGATGGTATATATATACCATATAATATTATTTTATTATCAAATATATCACTTATATTTTTTTTCTACACTTATATATTTCATTTCTATCATTACTATTTGATATAAGAATAAATTATGAGTGATATGTACGTGATATTAAAATTTTGGGAGATTTACATACATACCACTTAATACTATGCTATTTACATATTTAACATCTAAAACTTTAATATTACATACATATCACTCATAGTTCATTTTCATATCAAATATGAGTGGTAGAAATGAAATATATGAGTGGTAGGAAAGAAATGTATGTGGTATATTTGATATTAAAATAATATAGGGTGGCATTCATGTAATATTAAAGTTTTAGGTGTTAGATATGTAAATAGGATGTTATAAAATGGTATGTATGTAAATTTTCTTAAAATTTTAGATGTTAAATATGTAAATAAAATATTATTAAATGATATGCATGTAATGTTTTATTAGGTAAACGGGTAATACATTTTCTATTCTTTAATATATGTGTGATTTTTTTGAGAAAATTAACATGCACAACTCATCCATCTCTCTCTCTCTACTAGTCTACACTATAGTCCTCTAGCCTTAGCTATTATTGTATCATTTATTGAATGTCAGAACAAAAATTTAAAGTGGTTAAAGTCTTGCATGCTTTTCACGTGGATAAATGCACCGGCAATATTTCTTTAATATATGTGCAAAAGAAATTAATGACAATAAATTTGTTTGGTAAATTGACCGTGACAACTCATCTATTTCTATCTCCATCAGTCCACGTGATAGTCCTCCAGACTCAACTATTGCAGTAATAAAACTTTTTTTTTTCTCAGCTAAATTAAATTAATTTTCTACTGTAGAATATAATAATTCCTTCAATAAAAAAAATAAAAATAAAAACTTCCGTTGTGCCCAGTACTGGACCCTTTCTGTCAGTAGCGTGCGGTGGGCCGTTGCTCGTTGATTTTCTTGCCCATCTCCATTCCATCTATCTTCCTTTAAATTTACGAGCTTCTACTAACATCCTGCAAGCTAATTAAGCAATCTCTTTCAGCAAGCTCAACATGGCGATGATCTTGGATGCTTTTATGAGCAAATTCTCTTCTTTGCTCGCTGATCTTGTCTATGAAGAGGTGATAATGCTGCTAGGTGTGAAGGATGAGCTTCAAACGCTAGGTCGTCGGATGACGAGAATCCAATACCTACTGAAAGATGCTGAAAAGAAAAAGTTTGACGAGTCATCCATCGAACTCTGGCTTTCTGAGCTTAAGGATGTGATGTACGATGCCGAAGAAATCATTGACCTCTGCAGAATTGAGGGCACTCAGATGCTCGCTGATCAAAATCCTGAATCCAGAACTTCTTCGGTACGTTGCGATTTCTCATCTGTCTTCTCCTGTTTCACTAGTGTTCCTTTGCGTCATGAGATTGGAAACAAAATTAAGGATATTAATGAAAGACTCAAGGAGATATATGAAGATAGAGAACGTTATAAACTAGAGAAGTCCACAATATCTGAAACCCCACAAATTACTCTAATTGATTCTCGTCAAACTTCTTCCATGAATGATCCTTTTGTCGTGGGAAGAGAGGTCGAGATTGCAGCAAATAGTTTGGTTGATCGTTTGCTTGGGGAGAAGGTCAATGAAAAATGTAGTCTTTTTGCAATTACTGGCATGGGTGGGATAGGGAAAACGACTCTGGCTCAAAAAATTTTTAACCATCCGAAAATTAAGACCTATTTCAATTTAGATCCTGTATGGGTTTGTGTTTCACAGACTTACTCAAAAATTGAGTTGTTGAAGCAAGTAATAAGAGGGGCTAAGAAGAACAATGGGGATGCTAATACTATATCAGAGCTGCAAATCATTCTCAGTGATTCTATAGCTTCGGGACAAAGCTTTTTTCTTGTTTTAGATGATGTGTGGAAGAAGGACGTGTGGGTTGATTTGTTTAGAATCCCGTTGTGCAAATCTAATGCCAGTGTCAGAATTTTAATCACCACTAGAGATCAAAATGTTGCAAAGGAGATGCAGGCAGCGTACACTCATTCCGTGACGCATCTTTCTGAAGAGAGCAGTTGGGATATGCTTCGTAGGAGACTTTTTTCAGAGGAAGAAGAGGAGCTAGCAAATGGCTTGAAGGAGGTAGGATTAAAGATAGTAAACAAATGTAAAGGCCTACCTCTTGCAATCAATGTAATTATCGGTGTTCTTTTGACAAAACCACGAAGTAAGAAAGCGTGGGAAGCTTTTCTTAGAAATGATGCGTGGTCTGTTAGCCAGTTTCCTGAGGAGCTTCGAGGAGCCCTATACCTTAGTTTTGAAGATCTACCTTCACATCTAAAGCAATGTTTTCTATACTTCTCTTTATATCCTGAGGATGCCTGTTTTGATTTGCATGAGTTCATTCAACTTTGGGTGGCTGAAGGATTTATAACAAAGAAACAAGATTCATTAATGGAAGATTTAGCAGAAGAATGCTTCAATGAGTTATTTAATCGGAATCTTTTGCTGCCAACAGATTCTTCAAATAAGTACAAAATGCATGATCTTATCAGATCTCTAGCTATTTTTTTGTCTAAAGGAGAAGCTTCTTTCGGAGCTTCTAACGTGAGGAATTCCACCAAGCTTCGTCGACTGTCAGTTGCAAATCAAGAAGCTACAATTGAAATACTCAATTCTGTTGCAGATCAGGGAACCCTTAGGACATTGCTTGCTTCATCTTCTGATCTGTTGTTAGATGATGAAAGATTGAGCCGGCTTTTGCATCTACGTGTCTTGGACATTTCCAGAACAAAAATTCAAGAACTTCCTGACTCTATAGGAAAGTTAGTGCATTTGAGGTATCTTAATTTAAACGGTTCAAATATAATGACAATACCCAAATCCATAGGGCATTTTACAAACCTACAATTCTTGGATATTTCCTATACACAAATTCAAGTACTTCCCGACTCTATAGGAAACCTAATGCATTTGAGGTATCTTAATTTGAATGTTACAAATATAACGATAATACAAGAATCTATAGGGCAGTTAACAAACTTAGAAATCTTGTACATAAGTACTTGCAAAAATTTGGAACAACTTCCTAGTGGAATCACTCTGTTACACAATCTTAAATGCCTTGATATTGTTGAGACACCTATTAGTTTCATACCAAAAGGAATAGAAAATTTGCAACAACTTGATTATTTGAGTGGTTTTGTAGTGACCAACAATGAATCTAACTGTAGCAAATTGGAAGACTTGAATTCTCTGAAACGGATAAGAACACTCCACATTAACATTAAGAACATGAAGAGAATCCAAAGTGAAACAATAGCTCTTAAAGTACTACCTAACCTTTCTACTTTGACGTTGAAGTTCTTTGTGGACTATTCAAGTCCCAGCGAGGAACAAGAGCTGGCAATAGAGGAGTTGTTCGACAAGATAATACCTCCAGAAAGCCTAGAAAATTTCAATATAGATGAATTCTTCGGCCGCCGTTTCCCCAATTGGATGGTCTCATCATCTTTTGAAATTTTCCTTTCAAATTTGACTAAATTGGTATTCAGGGACATAAAATCTTGCACTCAGCTCCCACCATTAGGTCAGCTACCTGAACTTAAAGAGCTTTCTATTATAGGTGCGACTAAAATAAAGAAAATTGGGCCAGAATTTCTTAGTAGTGATATCAATTCAACCCAGATTGCTTTCCCCAAGCTTGAACGGCTTCAAATCTTGAACTTTCCTGAGTTGGAAGATTGGTCTTTTGGCACAGAAGTTGAGCAAAATATATCTCCAAGACTCAAGTTGCTTCCATATTTACAGAAACTAACAATCCAGAATTGCCCGTTGTTGAAACAACTACCAGAAGGTTTAAAGTACTTTCCTATTACGGATCTCTGCATACATGAAGTCAGAAGACTAAAATCACTTGATAATCTCTCTACTGAAATTAAAAACCTACAATTATTTATGTGTGAAAATTTGGAAAAGGTCTGTTGTGCACCTACGATAAAGGTGTTTAGCGTTTCTAACTGCGAAGCTTTATCTTGCGTGGAGAAGCTTGATTCATTGCAAACATTATTTTTCACTGGATTTAAAGACAGTCTTCCAGATTGGCTATTGAAGCTTCTGCAACAACGGAGGTTGCAAAATGATTCTAATGATGACTTCTACCTTGAGTTGAAGTGCGGGATGACGGTTTTTCGAGAATGCTTAAAAGGAGGTTCTTATTGGGACCTAATTCAACACATTCAAAAAGTAAATGTCACTTGTTACAAATACGGTTATCTTCAATATAGTAAACAACCCTATGTTTACAATACAAATTGGTAATTAATTCAGACGTTATTTTGGAGGTTTGTTAAGGATTATTAAGTTATTGTGGTGTGTACATGCGTTGTTTGTATTTTAGTGAGCGCGTGCTTCTTTGTATAACTTATACATGTATTGTGTTGTAGTACTTACTATTTGTATGCTTTGCTTAATTTGTGTGGGACATCCTTCTTCATGATTGGATTGCTTTTTGTTATTGATTTAATGTGATTATTATGTGAGAAAAAAAATATTTGTAAGTTTTTTCAAAGAATAATAAAGTTTGCTTGTATTATATGCATTATATGTTTCTCTTTTAGCTCTCGATCTCATGTTCAGCGTGGAATTAAAGGGAACAATAATAACTTTTGTAATCTTTAAATTTTATTTGTTTCATTTTTTAATTTATTTTTTAAATAATGTTTTAATTAAAGGTTACAATTTTGAATGAATTTAAAAATTATATATCTTTCACTTCTACAATGACGTAAGATGTTTTATCATTCATGTTTTAATGAATAAAAATTATTTATTATATGATCTGACAAACTCATTTATTGTCAAATTTCCTTTGAATAAACCTTACATGTTTGATTAATCGATTATCTTCACAAGATTAGATTCATCAATAATAAGCATTTTTTTTAATTAAGCGTTTACTTCAATGGTTCTTTACATCAGGTTATTTATTGGACCATATTTGTTAAATTAGTTAGTGATATCTTCCATTAACTCTATAAAACTTTATTTCATATATCATATAATTAATTAATTATATTTTTTTTTTCCTTTAAATATAAAACTGCTTCATCTTATCTCATGAGGTTTTATAATGAGTTCAATTTAAGAGTATATTTGGGAAGACTTTTTATTTGTTTTACTATTCAAATAATAAACAAAAATTAAGGTTTCGTTTAAGATAGTTTTTTTACTATTTTTTAAAGCAACTTTCAAGTACAAAAATTTTAATTTAGGATTTTAAAAAGCTGTTTTAAAATATATAAATAAAGTTGTCCCGAACAAAGCCTAAATTTATTTATAACTTGTTTTTTTAAAATCCTATAATAGTGAAATTATTTTCTTTGTAGCAACTTCACAATCAATTTTATAAAATGATGCAGTCACACCAAATAGACCCTAAGTCCCTTCATCACATTCTGTATTATCTATCAAGTGCATAACACTTTCAACTTGGGTATCACAAATCCTACAACAATATTAATCAGATTGTTGCCAAGATTCAAAAGTATCCCTCTATTCAATGGACATAATGGATGCAAAGCTTCAATAATAAGACTAGTTGTGGGTCAAACCAAATCTAAAAAGAAGGTAGAAAAACAATCAATGCAAGCAAATTTGGCAACTATTTGTTGAGATGAACTTCCACATAATTGATTGCAATATGCATTTTTTTCACTTATGATTGGCTAATGAAGTGAACAGCTTTTTATTACTTTGCTCTATCAAAGAAATTTACTAGCTAGATATATAAAGTTGCAATGAAGGAAAAGGACATGTTACAACTACGTGAAAGAATCACTTTTATCTACAGATGTCCTGAAAAATAACCACATTCCACCTCTCTCTCTCTCTCTCTCTCTCTCTCTCTCTCTCTCTCTCTCTCTTTGGCTCTCTCTCTCTCTTCCTCTCACTGATGAGACCATTGGAGGTCGAACATATAACAAAATGCTTCATTCTCGAGGGGCATTGTTCCTTGCCACAGTATGATCTTTACAAAAAGGCTATTGATCTACAGAAGAAGACCGCTTGCTCCCCTTAGTCATGTACTGGAGAAATCATGTTAATGTACAGTTAGTGGTTAGCACCTTGGTTCTTGTTTCACAGTACTCCCAGTTGTTGAACTGAAAATGAATGCCTACAGGAAACAACAAAAGCGAGTAAAGATCTTGTTTTCATGTATAAATGACAATAATAAGTAGCAGTGTATGTTCACAGTGAGGCCTTTTTCAAGGATTTTGTAATGCAACATATTATATAAAATGTAAAAAAGAAAGAAAAAGCTAATAATGGAGAAGAATGTGAATAATTGTCTTAGTGAAAACAGATGATGAGGTCGCAAAAACAAATCCTAGTGAAATACTACATATTTCTGACATACTTTGAAAAGGAATTAACGCTGAGAAGAAAATGGATAAAATTAATTTAATAAGAATGTTTCTTATAGCTATTAAATTTATTTTGTGATAAGTGTACTATATGATTAATCAATTAAAATTTGTGTTACACTTATCTTAAAATAAACTTAATGGTTATAAAGTCCTCCATCATGTTCATCCCAAACGTTATCCTAAGAAAAATGCATTCACAAAAATTTAAATGTCATTTCCACTGATGAGTGCAGCAGTCACCAATCCAGTTAATTATCTTTGGTTTAACAAATTTCCTTCTCTCTAGTTTTAGATCCCCATCTCATTATCTCTCCTATGCATTTAGAAAGTACAACAAAGCACCTGGGTTTATATTCTATAATCTTACCATTGATAAGAGGCATTTTAATCAAACACGTATGTAAAAAGAAACAAGGCTTGAGTGCTACTCTCACACTCTAAATCTATCACACTTAGGTTGGCCATGATGCTTCACCATTATTACTATTATTTTTATTTACATACCTTAAATTATGGTGTAATTAGTCCTTGTTCTAAAATGTCCTTTAACTTACTTCAAAGCTTTTACAGAGGAAAAGCATATAATTCCCACAATAGCTTTAAAAAAAAAAGTTCTCATAATAATTACATAACTAGTTTTACAAATAGTTGCAAGCATTCCAAATGAAACCAAAGTTATATGATAATGTTATATCGTGCTATTTTGTTATAAAAAATTAACATAATGTTGAATAAGTGGCCTCGTGCTTCTCCTATAGTTATCCTTAGAAGGGTTTTACAAAAAAGGTTAATAAGTAGACATTAGTTATTTATTTCTTCACAAATACAAAAACATGTTTGTGGGTTTTTTAAATGCATCGTATATATAATTAGGACTTAGTAATTCCATTGTTATAATTATGTTGTTGGAATTGTGGAGACAAATTTCCTCATGATAAAATATTTTGCAAGTTGAGAATGAAAATTTTATTTAAACACAATTTTTTTACTAATCCATTTTTATGGAATATTTTTTGAATTATTTTAATGTAAAGATAGATAATCATTTATTGAATTTAAGATATCTTGAAGTTCACTGATTTTAAGAGTTATAGCAATATTTTGTGGATCTTGTAATAAATCTATTGTCTCCAAACTCAACTCTTTCTACCACTATAAATAGAGCTTTAAAAAAGAGGGTTTGGCATCTCATAACCAAAAGCAAATAGAAAGAAGAATGAGAGAAAGGGGAAACAAGATGCAAAAAAAAAGAGAAATTTTTTTTAAGTGTTTAAAACAAAGGGAGGTACTCTAATTCTTCAAGAAAAACCAGATCCTACTAGTTTTAATTACATCAAAATGAGAAACTTTTTATCATAAGAGGGAGAATTTCTCATTTTGTCTCCAGGAACAAATAAGGGCAGAAAATAATAATTGCAATAATAATGTTTTCTCTCCATCTTCACTACTCGTTTGATGCAAGTGGTTGCACTGGTCAATGAAACAATAGTGTTATCTATGTCCTTATAATATCTCCTTGAACTTTTGAAGTTTAGAGAATTATTTAATCTCTATGTGTTCATAAACATAAACAAATCTCATTGTAACACAAACATTTATCTTGTTGTTCTCACGCATTCGTAAATTTTTACTCAAATTCTATTATTATTCTAACAATTGGTATCATATCTTTAATCTAAAAGGCTTTTAGATCCAAGTAGGATGCTATGAAGATCAAAATCTATAAATTAGATAGCAAGAATTTGGGTTTTAGAAGTTGCAAAATGACAATGTGTACCATAAATCATTGAAAAACTATAGCCACAGTCAACAAAAAACAAAAAAAAAACAAAAAATAATTAAAAAATAGCAACAGTGGACAAAGTAAAAAAGAGAAGAGTTAATAGACAAATAAGTTGATTATAGCAGACATGGGTGTAATCAAGTTGAGTAGTGACCTTATCGAGCTTAGCTTGTCGGTCATAAAGTTGGCTCGAACACGAGCTCGTCCCACTGTAAACGAGCTCGAGCTAGCTCGCGAGCCTCGGAGGGATTTTTTAAATATTATAAATTATTTTAAATATTTAATTAATATTTTAAACATTTAGTATTAATTTTAAATATTAAATATTAATTAATTTTTATATTATTAAATATTTTAAACATATATTTTTATTATTTTTAAATATTTAAATTTAATAAAAAAATTATTTTAAAACATTAATAATTATTCAAGCCGGCTCGCGAGCTCATAAGCCGAGCCTCATCAAGCTTGAACTCGAATTCGTTAACTAATGAGCTCGATAAGCTCAGCTGACGAGCCCATAAACGAGTCGAGCTTGAGCTGGTTCACGAGTCGGCTCAGCTCACTTACACCCCAAATTGCAGATATTTGACAATTGAAAATCAAAATAGTAAATAGAAACACTTAGTAACTAAACATCATCTTGCACCCTAGATTGATGATAAATCTAATTTCCATCAAACATGTACTTTTTACATCATCAAAGCATTTCAAAGGAGTTGCCACTTATGACTAAGTAAGAAAATCCACTCTTTACCCAGTAGAAAACTAAAAGGAGTTGCCACCAATACATAAGCAGATTCAAATCTATGGCATTAAAATCTAATCCTCTGAATAAGAAGGCCTAAAGAAACTCCAAAGCTGAAGGTAATTTTTTAAGTTCAAAGCATGTTAAATTAACATTCTACTAAGGTGTATTTTATGCAAATAAGGTCAATTCTTTTTTACAAAGTTAGGAGAGAAGTAAAGAACAAAATGCTAGACAGCTAGAGCTAGTGCACCCAAATATATATGAGTAGTTCCCCACCGCAATCAAGTGTCTAAGACCAAGCAATGGTGGAGAGCACAACTCTATATAATTCATAAACTATTGTGTCAGTCAAGGGACCTATATGAAGAGAATAACATGTGAAACTCCACAAAAAAATGAGAATACAAGAAGCATAAGATTGCATGCCATTCTTCCCAAGGCCTTCTGGGTTGATATAGTTTCAATCAAGAACGTTAATTGCACTCAACTTTGAGCTTTCTAAAAAAGCTTGGATATGCAAGGATGTTTGTTTGTCACATTTGGATCATAGGTTTATGTTTATCATATCACCATAAATAAGCTTAACATAAAATCCAAGAAGTATTACTTTATTCAACATAAAATAAAAATGAATTTGACTACAAATTTGGGATAGTAAAGGAATAAGAATTGTCATGAGTACAAATATTATATTCAAAGAATCCATATTATACAAGGATAACTTAAGCTCTTCCACCCAAAAAACTTCACTCCATAGCATATATAATTGGAAGAATCGGGCAAGCCGAAAAAAGAGAAGATAAGAAACACCATAGGAAACTTAGGAGTAATTTGCGCCCTACACACATTTTACTCAAGTCATATGGTCAACCAGACTAACCTTTAATGTTATTTACAAATGCAGAAGAGTTTGAATACTACAATAAACTCATATGAGTAAAAAATTCTATAAAGAGGGAGCTTGTCATAAAAGAAGAGATGAAATCACTTTATAAGAATGACATATGAATAGTAACCATGTTGCTCAAAGATAAATGTATGAGGTAAGACTTGTTATATAGGGGATCCAACAACACCAAAAAGTGTAGACATTATAAAGACACTTTCTATTGTAGTCAAGCTAATTATTAGTCAATTAGTGCTAAGTACTAGAATAATAGAAGATTATATATTGAACAAATGAATGTCAAGAAAATTCTCCTTCATGCTAACATGGACGAATGTATATGCATAGTGTAATACAAAGGCTTTGTTGAACCAGAAAAAGAAAATCTTACATGCAAGCTAAATAAACACCACATCAATGGAACACAAAATCTGATGGACTCATGCATAGGATGAAATTCCACAAATGGAGTAGAACATTTTTATTATGCCAAAGAAAAAGAAAATGTTTGCATTATTCTATTGTTGTATGTGAATGACTTACTAATTATAAGGGTGATATTCAAAAGATTAATAATCTAAAGAGATAGGTGTTCAAGGAGTTTGAAATAGAAATTTTGGGGGAATTCTAAAATATTCTCCATGCAAAAATAAACCAAAACAAGATCATAAGGACTTCAAATTTTTCATTGTCAAAATATATTGAAAAAAGTACTAGAATAATTCAATATGATGAGTAGATACTATAAGTACATCACTTGTTAGCTTCTTCAAATTGTCTAAAGAACATATGCCAAAAATTGAAGATGAAAAGGAGAAAATGGCTAAATTCACCTATGTTTCAGTTGTTAGATCACTCATACATGTAAAATTTACTTGAGACCAAATATTAAATATGTAGTGAGATAAAGTAGATAAATGTTTAATCTAGAAAAATAGCACGGAGAAGTTTTCAAGTGGATAATACATCTTCTTAATGTACAATTAACTATTGTGAAAATATTAGAAGGTTTAATCTAAAACTACATGGCTTTGTTAATTTGAATCTAAACAAAAGGAGGAGTACCACTAGATACATAGATAATCTAGGTAACACAGTAGTCAAAGTACTCCTTTGTGACTAATGAAAAGAGGTGTCGCAAAAAGATAAGTTCAATATGACCGCTGAAAATGTATACTAAAAACTCCATCTCCAAGTGAGCAAGCACTCTAATAATTTGACAAAAGACAAATTAGTGGCTATGCAAATTAAAAAAAAAAAAACAATGGGACAAATACGTAAGAAAAGACCTTTTTATTCTTGATAGTCAAACATGGATATAAATGCAAGCATACACTCTAATAATTGATATTTGGCAAGAATCAATATAATGAGGATACAAGTGCATGGACCCTTACTTGACTTGGGCTTGGAAGAATGCTCGTAACAAGATCCTCACTTATCGTCACTGGCAATGGTGGCATCTGACTCATAATTCCAGGCATTCCACTCATGCTATTTGCAAGAATAAGCTTACTTCAGGAAATATATTTGAAGTAGCTAGCAAGTGACAAATGATGTAAATAAACCAAACTTACAAGTCCTAAATCAAGAAAAACATATTATACCTATTCAGAATCTTTGTGATATTGATCCTTGTGCGTAGAAAGAGATTTACATTATCATGGATCTGCATATAAAAATAGAGAGGCTTCAAAATAAATGAAATATGATATTTAGACCATGAAAAATGCATGATCTAATCAGGTCATACCATAGATTCAAATCCAAAAGGATACCAAATAAAATAAAGAAAATAAAAAAAAATATTTGAAAGTGGTACAAATTATAAATTAATCTCATGCATCAAGACAACTCATCCGAAAATTCACAATTTGAATTGCTAATCACAACTCAAAACTTTGGGCTAATAAAAAGGTAATTGTTCAATTAAGATAATCACCATCCTCATTATTAAACTCACCACGGGGGCTACAATGGGGGACTTGGGGACACAAGCCCATATTGGCTCATAAAAAACTGGCAACTTATATTGAAAACTGTATTATTTAGGAAACATCAAATATTTTCATATTTCAAAAATTTTATACTATTAAAACGTCAAATCAGATAGTAGCTAAAAAAAAAACTTCCTCACGAAATTCTGCCTAGCGTTAGTCTACCTTGTCAGAGCTGCTTTGCTCAACAGCCACCACGAATCTCCAGCACTATATATCTCCTTTCTCTCTCTCTCTCTCTAACAAATACACTCCGGCTCTCTCTCTCCCTCTTCTCTCTCTCTCTATCTATCTATCTATCTATCTATCTATCTATCTATCTCTGTTGCAGTCTTTTTCCTCTTTTTCCCTCCATATCTCTCTCTATATCCATGAAAATAATTTTCTTTTTAATTTTCTTTCCTACTCTTTCTCTTTATCTCTATCTAGTTAATCTAAATTTATTTGTCTTTTTTTTCTCATTTCTTTTTTCTCTCTTTCATATAAATTTTTTTTTTTAATTTGAAATTTAAATATATCATTGAAATTTATTTTTTGTAAATGAGATCTTCAAATCTCCTTTATAAGAATTTTTCGAAACTGAAGTGAATAAATTACAGTCTTGTACGTTGTTGAGAGTGGATTGCAATCTTCAATTCAAGTTAAGAATATTAATATTAAAATTATCATATTTTTTATTGAATATATTGTTATATTAATAAAATACATCACATCGTTTTGTTATATTTCTATAAATTCATAAATTCCGAATTAAGAATGAAAATTTGTACCCCATGAAAATTTGTGGTCAACAATATGAATTCTCTGACTTCATTCCTATTAAATATTACCTAAGATGTTCACTACATTATGCAAATATCATTTTGTGTAACTTCAAGGCATGTTTAACTTGTTTACCTCTTTTCTATCCTAATTCTTTAAAATAAATTAAACTTGTAAGTTTTAACCATTCAATAGGAACTATTTCCCATAAATATGATTTTATAATTTCTCACTTTATCCTTGTTCTATCATATCCATGATTCATGTTAACACTCTCATTTCTACTAAACTCTCCATTCCAATCATTACCATAATTATTTTCTAGCACTTTGATAGCATATATAATTTAACTACCAGTTATTAAATTTATTAAAAATCTCATACTTTTTATTATATTCATTGCCACGCTTCATCATTCTAACTGCTCAAGTTAACATTAAAAAATTATTGTCATTTACCTTTTCTTTTTTCTTTTTTTTTTCTGCATCAAAATATTTAAACCTACCACATCTAATAATCAAAAATACTTCTAATAATATTGACAAATAATTATCAATTCATATCGATTAAATTCTATTTTTCTTCTAACACTTGTCATTTTCTTCTAAAAATTTACAATTTTTTAAACTTTGGACTTTATACAAATCGGTCACCAAATATCATAAACAAAGGTAACTAATTTTAATTATTTTTGTTTGAGAATCTTGAATATAGCGCTGTAATATTAAATTGATAACAAAACTCTAAATATTTATTTTAAGAATCTATCAAATAAAGCAATTTTAAAAATAGTTTAATGAAGACATATGATGCACGGACACGGACACGACGACACGGACACGACACGACACGGACACGGGACACGGCTTTTTTTGAAAATGTAGGACACAGGTACGGCGCGGACACGGCAATACATTTTTTTATATAGTGTATATATATTAATGTAATATCATATTAAAAATGACAAACAATAATAAATGAATGACATGATAACTTGTCTAGCTTATAATATAAAATATTTAGTACAAAATATCTAATACAACCACAAAAATATAAGCAAATAATCACTTACTACAACATCAAGCATTCAAGCTTCAACTACTAGGATTAGCTTTAGAGGTTTGTTTTTGGCCTTCAATATCATCATCATTGAATATCACTACTTTCAACTTTGGTTCAACAAGAATGTCCGACACGCGTGTCCAATTTATTTTTAATATTTTTTTAATCGGACACGTTTTCGGCGTGTCCGACACGTGTCAGAGGAGTGTCGGACGAGTGTCGTGTCAGACACGGTGTCGAACACTGCACACCTCTTTGAGGAGAGGTGTCGGTGCATCAATTGAAGACTAAAAACAATAATAAGCCAATCGTGGTCATGCAACCTTAAATTTTAAAGATATGAGGATGAAATTACTAACACTATTGTTTATAGGTTGAAACAATAAAACACTGTTTAGAGATGTAATAGCACAAAAAGTTTAACTTAGGAGTTTAAACAAATATCTTTATTTCTTACTTCTACTTATGGATAAAATAACAACTAATATTTTATAGCTAATACGAATCAGATGCTTGGTTGATTATATTCTACTTCAAACAGACGATTTTCCACTTCATAGTCATTTAACGTCAGTGAAGGAAGCACCCAATTGCACAATGAAAATAGCATGATAAAGCAATTGTTTTTTCATATGTTATTTATTTGACTTATCCTGATGTCATTAATAGTCACAAAAAAGTACGAGCAGATTTTAAACAAATAAAGATTTAGCTATTTACCTTGACTGTTTCAAGATTAGCAGCAATCTGGCCAAGAACTTGTGCATTTTCTTCTAAAAGTAGCCGGCTAGCATTGTCAATTACAGGAGCTGAAAAAATAAATCAGAATTATGATCAAGACATCAATGTAGAGCTGATGTTTATATCGGAAAATTGAAACTCGCTGGATAACCACTAAAATTTTAATTTACTCAAAATGAATTTGCTTCAAGTCTAATATAATTTGCTCGAAACAAATTCAAGTCGAAATCAACTCTATCTAATATATACACATATGTGTGTTCTCACACAAATATTACATAAATTATATTCAAGTATAAATAAACATAAAAATATCATGTTGCATTATACCTTTATATAGCCTACAAATTTGATATAACATCACTGTTTGTGATATCCAACATCAAAATTACATATTTTAAAGTATTTACACTTTAAAATCATAATTACATTCTCACACAACAAATCATCTATTGAAAAACTTTTGATGATCAAACAATATTAAAAGAGCATAGAACTCATACAAGCCAGTGATTTTAATGATTTCGAAGATGACGAATGGATTTGATCTTGCATTTGAAGGTTATAACATTGAAATCCAATTGGTTGGATAATGAATTGTTCCATCTTAAAAGGATGCAACTCCATCATTATATAGAAACAGGGATAGGCTGCAATCTTTTATATGGAAAATATTCATTCTCTACAAACTAGCTTTCTTTGTTACCACCTCCAAATGCGTAAGGTTATATCTCCAAATGCAACATCAAGATTATTAGCACTGATCTACAACCTAATAACTTGATCTAATTTGACAACTTTATATGAAGACTTAATAATTGATCAAATTTGATGAAGAAATAGGCAGGCTTACTATGCTCCACACCAGAAGTACCACTTACATGTAATTATTTGAAATCAAATTCATTAAAATTCTTTTAGGTGTAGTTTATTCATACTAAAAAAATATCATTTGATTGAGAAATCATATACTATGAAATTAATGAATCATCTATATCATTGTCTAGATCATCTGTTAGGTGATATATGATCAAATCATCATGAAATTTTAGTGGTCAACATGAAAAAGCGCCTCAAGGGTATTACATAGATTATAATGATTTCCCCTTAATTATTATCAAATAATCCAAGACATTTAATGAACCAAACTAGGAACATTAATGGGCTAATTAAAAATGGAAGAGACTTAATTAATTAAAACTTTGATAATTTCCCCAAATTTCTTAGATTTATATATTTAAAAAAAAAATATAAAAAAAATTATGACCAATCTAGATCAATTAGGGTCAACCCATGTCCATTATAGGTTTGCAACTCGATTAGGCTCATGACATTATGAAGTTATTTGATTGCAAGTATGAATTTGGACTTGACCATAATTTATCTTAATTCTTGTCAAAAGATTTTTGTTTGGTTGGTAAATTCGACAATCCATGTAAAGCAACATCCACTAGGATTTTGCTAATTGGGAGACCTCATTAGAGGGTAGAATCAAATCCAAGAACAAACGCTGCCTAGTGGTTTTATAAACCCTTTTTGGCCTCCTAGAATCATACAAACTTCCTTGATTCTATTATTTTTCATTCAATTGTATTATTTTTCATTGAAACAAAATAATATAAGCAAGTGCAATACATGTGTATCTCTTGGAAAGAAATAAATCAATTGAGTTAAAAACTAAACCATGAAACAAAAATTCAATTAATTTACCAAGATTTATCAAGATTTAAAAGTTCTAATGTCAAACAATTTTCAAGTTATATGCTCTCAAATTTTACTAAATTCAAATTTATAAGATTTATTAAATCATGCTTGTGTTAAATCTTACTTGTATCCAAACAAGCACAACAGTCTAAATCAACTCATTGTTGTAAACATATAACTACCCCTCCTACCCCACCTCTGAGCTCCCCAACCTAATCACATTCTCCACAACCATGACACCAACCATGGTCATGCCTCGCAACCTCTCTAAAAATGGGGAGGTCAAAACCTCCCATGATAAAACAGTTCACACTACAATGCTCATTATAAAGACAATGCATCTCAAGATAAGAGGTACAAAAGGTCCCATCTCCATTTCATTGCTCAACCATCACTTCATAGCCCCTATGATCTTGTTGTTTGAGTTGGTCAGGAAATAGAAGACCCTTTAATCGCAACAGTATTGGCTAGTTGTCAAGTTGTTTCGTGTGACTGAGAAACCTCTAAGCCGCTTAATTGTCAACCTTTAATCAGGTAAGAAAAAACTGGCAATTAAATGCTTATGCATAGTTGTCATATTTGTTGGTTAAAACCTCCATATAGTCCAAGAAATAAGTCTAAGAAGCTTAGCCTGATAGCTCACCTAGCTCCTAGCCCATTTAGAACTTGAATTAAACACCAATTAGATTTAGACCCTCTACTTATGGAAATTAAAATCAACCATGAATACAACATTGAGACCCACTAAGCCAATTGAATAGACTTGATTAAAGCTCTCTAGTGGAGCCCATATATCATTGCCGCTTTGCGAATGAGTCACATCATCATTTCAAGCCTCAACATTTGATATAATAAGGGGATTTGCAAATTAATTTGGTTTTGCATGCAACTTGACAACCACACGTCAACCACATGTCGATTATGTATCCACTAAATGTCAATTATGTGTCATGTGTATGCCTAATCAACAAAAACAAGGCCCATTGGACCTCACCCTTACTGATATAGAAGCTAATTTTATCCATCTTCCATGTGGCAAGCCAAAACACATCATAAAAGTATACCAACCACTATAGAACAAGTTCATAATTAAAGACTAATTATGAGAAAACCTATAATCTTACTACATTGAACCCCTTGTGATCCATCAGTTAAATGTTTAATCAATTAGAGTCAATAATGACCAAGTAGACTGGATAAAGGGACGACTGGCCAAGCGGACTTAAGAAAGTGCAACTAGCTAGCTAGAGTAAAAGAGAGGCTATGCGGATTTCAATTCATTAAAATTGTGGATGTAAATATGCCCAGGATGACTTGGACAAAAATGGTTGGGCGGAGTAACAATTTGTTTGAGTACTACAAATTACTCATTCTATTTGGTTAAGTAGAACTTAGCATGTTGAGATAAGCCAACAAAGGCTATAAGTGCCTTTTTTGTGTAGGAGAAATATTAAGTGTTCCCCACAAGCTGGACACATGAATTGAAATATGTTAGATCCAATTAAAAAGGTAGCCCAAAGTACCTTGTACCTTGTCTTCCAGGAGACTTTATCCACATTCTCGCAAACTAATCAAATACCAAATGGATGGTTAATCAACCCTTTATTCTTAACATGCTTTTTTATTTAAATTAAGGCACATATACAACCAAAGGCTAATGTTTTATTACTTAAGTGAGCATAAGAAAGAGTTGTGTGAGAAAGTCTTATAAAAGCCAGCAAGAATATCTCCATCGAATTAAGTGAATGAGAATTGAAAAGGCAATCAACTTCAACATTTAGTGTCTGCTCAAGAAGAACATCCTAACCCATTTTTTATCTTCTTTATTTGTGTGAATATAGTGATATTTTCTAAATATTTTTACTCTTTTGGTGTGAATGAAAGTAGACATTACTAGATGCAATGTAGATTACCCTCACTTTTCTTTGTACTAACATTAATAATTTTTAACACTTGCATGCATGTGAATCAAAAGAGAATGATGATGAAATAAGCCATTGAAGTAACAATAGGAGGCATTGTTTTGATCCCATTTTAGTAATGCTAATTTCTTCTTCATTGTTTCCGGTTAAGATAACATCATTAACATAGACAATAAGGATTCTAGTTTTACATGTTGATGATTTCTTGACAAATACCATGTGATCAGTCTACCCCTTAGAGTAATTGTGCTTTTTAATCATATGTTCTCAGATCATAAAGTCCTCACCAAATGAGGGCGAAATCTCTGGGTAGTGTCTTATCTACAAACCCATCTGCCTTCCAAAATTTACCTCGGAACTTAGTTCGTTAAAACTCCATCGCCGAATAAGAAAAGCGAGTGGAGGCGGGGCCGAATTTTTGGAGCCCACATCATAGTAATGAATATGTCGAACAAAACTTTTAGTAATTATTTTAGACCATAAAATGACTGTGTGTTTGCAGACTTTGTTGTCATCTTCAAGTGGTATAGTAATATAAACTTTATCCTCATAATTCCCATTAATGAAGACTTTTTTTTTATCAAGTTGATGAAGAGGTTATTCTAGGTTAGCATTCAAAGAGAGAATAACTTGAACAAAATGAATCTTGACAATCAGTGCAAAGATATGTTGATAGTTAATCTTAGTAGGTAGTCTCAAGTTGATGAAAAGGCCATTATAGCTTTATACCCTTCCATGCTCCAATCAAACTTGTATTTGATATTGAAGATCCATTACACCCGATAGGCCTATTTCCCTTTGGTTATACCAAAAGCTTTCATGAGTCATTCTTTCAAATGGTCATAATTTTTCATGAACATCTCTCAATGTTCCACTTTTTCCAAAGACAAGACCTTTCTTGTGTCAATCTTTTCAATGCATGTAATTCTTTATTAACAACATATCTCCATTCAAGCATTTTTAAAGTTTCATAAATATTGTTGGGGAATGTCCATGCTACAAAAACTAGTTAAAAAGACATGGAGCAGAGAAATTGTCATAGGAGAAGTACTCGTGTTGACCCCTACATGTAAAACCATGTGAAAAGTGGCAAAAAACGATGATTTAAGCAATGCGTGCGTGATGATTTAAGCAATGCGTGCTTTGACAAAACACATCACTTGAGGGGTCAAATGACCTCCGAATGCCAAATAGATGGTATCATTGCGATCAGGACACTAAATTATGCCGGTTCGAGGCCTCTCGCAATCGAATCGGATGATATCAGTCAAAAAAGGGGGACTAACACCCGAAATTAAACCGTGAGGCCGATCAAACGATGTCGGATCGACAAATGGACTTCGTCATTGTGTTCAGAATATTGCAAATACTCAAGAACTGTACTTTATTTGTTCAATTTAGATCATCCTAATGGGTGACACGAATTTCGAGACAACATGCAT